TGTAGCAGTTGATCTGCTTGAAATTGTCCTGAAATTCAGAGTTGTAAAAGGAATTGGTATTTCCCTCTTTGACAACAGCTTCATATTGTAGTATGTTACAGGTTCATATCTGCTTGTTTTATTGCCCTAGTCAAGTGCCTGCATGCTGGGCCACTTGTAACAGACCCAGAGTGAGCCATGTATTTTATCATGCAGTCTTTTTTTCTTCCTTTTATTTTTTCTTAGAAATAAAAAGGATTGGTATGAAGTAGAATGTTGTATCTTGATACTGTTTAGTAAGAATAAAGCAGGGATTGTTGTCATGGATAAAAGTCTTATGGGGCTCCATTTCTTTCCATTTTTCCACAGGTCACTGCTGGGGTACCTCTGCCAAAGGAATACACAGAAGAGGTAATCTTTAAGCTTTTGTGACAGTGGACCAGCTAGCTGTGGTCATGACATGATGGTGTCATGCAGCATATGCCTGGATTACAAGTGTGTCATTTATTTAGCTACCACAGAAAGGCTTCTCCATTACATTACGAGCTGTAATGTTTCTTTTTTTTTTTTTTAATGATGTTACTTTGGCTCTGCTCTTTCAAACATTTATTGTCCTCCACCTAGCCAGTGTTCAGAGCCTTGTTTTTCTCCTTAACTCACACAGTTGTCTGTGTGCTCAATTTTTTATAGTAATATCCACTCTGTTTCCCCAACCCTCTCAATGTGGAGTAATTGCTTAGCTGAAATATTGTCTCTGAAAATATCCAGAGTGCTTCTCTAATTACTCTCTTCTTAGCAGCAGTTTTTGTTTTTATCCCCACCTTGTTTGCAAGTGAGGGAAGTGAACTAAAGACTCACCTCCCATCCTTTTGCCTTGAACGGCTGTGTACCCTTGGATAATTGATCAGGCTCTTTACACTGCTGAAGCTCTTTCACTCATAGAGCTTCTGTATATATTATCCTTTGCATAGGAAGGGATGAAACGTCTGAATTTCCAGGAATAGTCTCTGATGCTGCAAAATGTAAATATATGTAAACTGAAAGCTGTTCAAATGAATTCACTGGATTCAAATGGATGAAATTCGCTGCTGGTGATATTTAATATATAAAGAGAGAAAATGTTTCAGAGAGGAAACTGAGGCTTTACAGTGGGGAGTTAATGAGAACAAGTATTAACTTTCTAAGCATAATAGAAAGTGATTAAAAAATGGTTTCTCTTACCTTGACTTGGGAGCTGAAACCAGTGATCATTAGAAGTAGTCACTCCTTTTCCTGTCTCCTGTCCAAGAGCTTGCAGTGGTCTGGACTGTTCCAAAAGCAGCACTGGGGATTTGCCTTTGTGGTTTAATTCCCATTTTGACGTTTTTACCATTAGTTTCTGCATGTGGTGGATTTGGAACAAAAGTTTCCCTACCCCTGATAAAATTAATGTCTTCTCTACAGAATCTTCAACTGGTGGCAAAAGGCTGCAGCAACCTAACCAAGCAAATCCAGAATGCACGGATGTTTGGTGTTCCAGTGGTTGTGGCTGTCAATGCTTTCAAGTGAGTGAGCTGGGATGGGGAGGTGATGCAGGGATGTAACATTGTGGCACTTCACGCACTGTGTTTAACACAAACTCTTGTTTTCAGTACTGTTGATATGTTGTTGGCAGCCTTTCCACAGAGTCATAAAACCACAGAATGGCCTGGTTTGGAAAGAACCTTAAAGATCATCCAGTTCCACCCTCCTGCCATGAGTAGGGATACCTTTCATTAGACCAGGTTGCTTAGAGTTCCAACCATCCTGACCTTGAACACTTTCAGGAACACTTGCAACAGCTGGGCAACCTGTTCCAGTGCCTCAGCACCCTCACAGTAAAGAATTTTATCCTAGTATCCAATCTAAACCTACTCTTTCAGATTGAAACCACTCCCCTTCTACTGTCACTATGTGCTCTTGAAAGAAGTTTTTCTCAGCTCTCTTGTAGGCTCCCTTCAGATACTGGAAGGCCACAGTTTTGCATTGTTGAGAAATGCATGAATTAGGCCCTGCATGTTGTACTGCACAGGAAACAACCACTGTGTGGTCTTCTTATGCAGCAGAAGTACTCTGAGCTGTGGTGTTAAAGCTGGTGCAGCCAAGGAGGAGGCTGTGGTGGATAACCCCTGAGCAGTCTGGTAGCTGTGATTTCTTCATTTCTGCATTTTGGATCTTGTCAAGAACATTTATTTACTGTGTGTGCATTCTGGTACAAACATGCAATCTTTCTCCTTACAGGACAGATACAAAGGCTGAACTGGCCCTTGTAGTACAACATGCAAAGGAGGCAGGAGCATTCGATGCTGTGGAGTGCACTCACTGGGCAGAGGGAGGGAAAGGAGCCCTGGCCC